ACACAAGCGGGCCCGGAAATTTAATGAACCAGCCGGTGACGCCCATTCGGGTGAATTCATCGAAGAGAACATCTCCCATTTCGGTGGAAAATTGTTCTCGTGATCAAAAAATCAGGCGGTCCTAACCGCCTGAATGATCCATGGCACCAAAGAACTGTGGGTTAGCATTCCCAAACATGCAACCGACCCTCTCTTTGGATCAAGTACCATTTAAGGCTGATCTCAAAACAGATAGCCGGTACTTAACATATCGCCTAATCGACTAAGAGAAGGCCAATAATCTATGGTGTTCTTGCAAAAGCCCAATCGGCAAATTGACACCCTAAATTCTAAGAAAAGCTCTCCCAAAAACCCAACCGGCAAATCGGTAAAAAACGGTTGGCATTTAGCACTTAGCTAAAGTCTTTAGCATTTGCGCTATAGCATATGGATAGCCGTCTGGCACCATTTCGTCTATACCAGCATCCTATCCAGGGGAAATTAACTATCCTAACCCAAACAAGTCATGCGGAAAAACATTCATGATTTATACAAGGCAAAATATAGAATTGCTTGCGAAGACTCAGACGGTAATGGTACCGGCTGGGTTCTCTTGTCTACCCTCACAAATTTCTTTGCCTAGCTTGCGAAGACACAGACGGCAGTAATACCGGCTGGGTTTTCTTGGCTATCCTCGCAATATGATACCAATCGCAAGCTGTTTATTCGAGTTCATTCAAAGCAAGAAAAATGCGATATTCAAGACATTCAAAACAGCAAAAAGGAAAGAAGCGAATTCATTCAAAACCGGACCAACCGGTAGAAATATAGTAGAAATAACCGGCATAGCCGGTGAAAATGTTAAATTGTTTACAAGATAAACCAGCACAGCCGGTGAAAATATCAGTGCTCAAAATAAAATATAACAGCAGAGTAATCCGACCCTTCCGGCGCTATTACAAGATAATGCACGGCGCGCAGGCCAGGAGGTCGTTGCTACTCAAGCTGCACTGTTACCAGGTTGCCCTGAGCCTGGCTCCCTTCCGGATGAGCTGGGTCGGTGTTGGGGACGGAGCCGGGAGCAACCTCGTCCTCGACTGTCGCCTCCAAAGTAGCCGCTTCCGCCTGCATTCGCTGGAACTCGGCGTCCACCCATTGCTCATACGGTTCGGGCCCCGGCCGGCCCCCCTCTTCAGCCAGAATGGCCAGGTCTGCGTATTTGTAGGCGAGCTCCCAGACGTTGTAGTCTGCACCCGGGTGGATGATGGAGAACGCCCTCTTCATTCTGTTTTGGCAGTCCTGCTCATTCTCCTCAATGAGCCGGCTCTGATCAGCCTCTAGGGTGGACTGGAAATTGCGCTGAGCATCGGCAGCCTCCTTGACCAGGCGGTCATTCTCTAATTGCAGTCGTTTGCTGCTCTTCTCCGCCTGGTCGAGCCGCTTGAGGGGCTCTTCATGCTTTTTCAGCTCATCTTCAGCGTTATCCAGGGCCGCCTGGAGGTTGTCCATTTTGAGCTTTTGCTCTGAGAGGGCCCGTTGGAGGGACTTGACCTGATCCGCCTGTTGCATGATTATAGCTTTAGTTTCTAAGTCATGCACAATCATGGAATAGTGAGGAACGCTATGTGCGTCATCCGCAGAACGTTTGGCTCTTCTTACCTCTTCCTGTTTGCGGATGTAGGCCTTCTTAAGCCCCTCCACGCGGAGCAGTGCCTGCAACAACAACACAACCGGTATTAGTTGAAAGACCGGATGGGTATACTACACATTAAATGTCGGGTGGGTACTCATTGACTTACATCGGCCAGGTCGACCATCACCCGGTCGGCATTGAAGGTATTGATTCCAGGAATCGCCTCCTTCTCGTCCCGGGGGACGGCTTTCAGCATGGCCCGGGCGTATTGAGCAGCGTCCGGCCAGCGTGGTGAGTTATCTGCACCAGAAACAGACGGTGAGAATGCTGCGTATGCTCCGCCAACGGACAGCCGACTGATCGGAGAATCTTTCGGCTGCGAAGAGGAGTACGATTTTACCCGCATGGGTATGTCGAGCAATGTGAGATCGAAAGGGTTTGTACCTTTTTGGGAAGCCTTTTGGCCTCCGGCATCAGATGGACCGGTTGCGGTCCTTATTGGAGTGACCTCTTTCGAGGTCGTTTCAGTGTTAGACCCGCCTGGGGTCTTTATTGATTTACCGCCGGTTGTTGCCCGGGCGGTAGAAGCGGTCTTCTGCAACTTGAGTGCAGGCTCTTCAACAGACGGCCTTTACCGGATCTGTTTTTGTAAAGAACGGGGAATAACACCCCCATCCTGAAACAAGACCACAAACGGTTAGATGAATAAATAGCCAAAACAACATCAAAGCCAAACACCTAGAGAAGGTCAGGCGGGCTAACCTTTTTAGCCGCCTGAGCGGCAAGTTTCTTCTCCAGATTCTCCTTTCGGATATCTGAAGCCTTTTTTGCGGGTGTCTTGGCAGTGGGCAGCATCTTCTTAGCTTCTTCTGCAAAATGAAAGTACATCCGGTCAGAAATATGAATTTTACATTTCAATCAAGAGAAAAAGGTCAGCCGACATCAAGTTAACCGACTAGGGTTCTTAACCTTTGGTTTTAAACATGCTGCTAAGCCCACAGGCGGACAAGAAGCACTCGTCCTTGAAAAATTCGTGTTTGGGCACCCAGTTCTTGGGTACCCTTATTATCTCTCCGGTTGAGAGAGAGGTAGAGGTCAACTCAAAAAATCCGGAGTCCAGAATGGCCCTCCTATCATTATCAGGAACTGGGGGCAGCCGACACTTCTGCCCCATAAGCTCTGGTTTCCGGTTGTAGGTCCGGTACTCCTTGTTTTCCTCCTCAGACGGGGCCTTGACCCAGTAGAACCGGTTCTTCCAGTCCGACCATTTAGACGGCTTGTCCAAGGTCATCATGTATTGGGGGTGAGTTGTCAAGGTGTACCAGGCCCTCCAGCCGCCTGGACTCCGGCTCAGATAGTGCATATGGGTAAACGCCTCCCAGCCGGGGTTGAGACCCTGCATCTCGCAGGCGGCAATGTACCCTAAAATATTCACCCAAGAATTTGGGGTGAGCTGCCAAACGCCTAGGCCATACCCCCTAAGTATGGCCTTGATCGTGTTGTGAAGGGGAAAGCGGACACCGGCTAGAAAAGCCGCCTCGTAGCACCCAAACCAACCGTTAGCGTTGGGTTGGTCATCTTCCCATACAACCGTCCCGAACTCCCCCGGCACGGTTATCTTGTATCCTTCACCAAGCGGCCGCCTGGTGATAAAGTCTTGTAGAGAAGACCACATGAGGGCACGGTCCTTCAAGGAGACGGCGATCATGAGAGGGTCGTTTCGGCTTTGCCACGAAGGCCTCTCCGCCTCCTCACTATCTTCAGACACGGTCAAGTAGCTGGAGCTACTGCTTTCAACCCGACCGTCATCAGAGCCGGATGGGGAGTTGGGAGCCTCATTGGCGCTTCTGGCTGCTCAGCCTCCTTAGCCGGAGAGGTCTCCTCGTTGTAGGAGCCTAGAATGCTATCGCTTGGGGTGGCGGGGGTACCGCCGGATGGTTCTCTAACCTCCCCGTCTGGGCCTTGATTTTCAGGCGATAACTCATTTGAGTCTCCGCCTCTATAATTGGGGTTCATAGTTGTTCCCCTAATTCTGGCCATGGTGTCCTACACAGACACGGAGTCGGTCGATACAGGCGTTGAAAAGGGGAAATTCCAAAGATCAGAGGCGGCAGATCCAGTTCTAGACTCAGCCGTACTAATTAACCGGCTGAGTTCACAACTATGGTCTGGGTATGGGTATAAAGGGTCCATCTACCTACGGGACTTGTAAACAAAAATGCAAGCAAAAGACGCAAACGGAAATACATGCAAAAGCAAGAAAGAATAGAGACGGTACCTAGAGTAAAGTGTTGAAAACCTCAAGAAATTTCTTGGGGATGCTTGCGAAGACACAGGCGGTTTGAATACCGGCTGGGTTCTCTGAGGTACCCTCTCGAAAATCTTTTGTTTGCTTGCTACTTCACAGGCGGTCTGAAAACCGGCTGCTTGTAAGCTTTCAAATCTCCGTGTGCTCTGAATTTCAAGTACCGGATGCTCTCAAATGCCGGATGCTCTCAAAATTCAAGAAATTTCACGAAGTTTGTAAATGAGCTTTCCCGTGCTTCCTCCCCTATTTATAGGGGTTGTCTCGGAAGGCGAAGGGGCGCGACCCTTCCCCTTCTGCTTTTCCCTCTTCCTTCAGTTAGAATTTGAAGGGGTTTCCCAAAAAAAAAAAAAAAAAAAAAATTCTCCGTCAGCTCTCTTCTCAGGCGCCACGTGGCGCCTTGCCATGTCAGCACCTGAGAGGGGCAAATGTTTGGGGTAAAATTACCCCAGCCACGTGGCCCAATGGCTAAGCGACACGTGGCACCTTGCCATTGGTCAGCAGGGCTCCAATCCCCTGCTGACACGTGTCCTAGGAACCCTAAATGGGGAACCAATGCTTCCCACTATAAATAATGGGAGAATCCTCATTAATGGGGTATTGAATACAATCATAAATACACTTACACCCAAACTGAGCAATCTTAATTGCGGAATTCTCCCATTACGCGAGAAGTAATTACTCTTTTACGCACTTTCTTCCTCCCGTACATCACTGACTTGATCGTCGGAGGCGGAGCTCCACCCAACCGGAGTCTTCGCGGTTTTGCAGGTACAGGCGGTCGAAGGGCATTCTCGGAATTGTAACTCTCCCGCAGGACACTCCAGAAAACCCCGAAACAGTCTTGGTAACAGTTTCCCACGCCACTAGATGAATTTTGCGGTGCTCATCATTGCCACCCTACAAGAATTGCCTTGTCTTCTTGTCAATTTCATCATAAGTTGACTTTGGAAGTTTGGTGGTTTTCATCGTGTAGAAGGGAATAGAAGAAATTCACGCTTGAGCCAAGGTATTTCTCCCAGCCAAGGACAGAGTTTTGGCCTTCCAGCTAGCCAATTTCGCATTGATCTTGTCCATGAGAAACTAGTAGTCCTGCTTAGAAGTGCGACCAGAAATTGTAGGTACCCTTTGGTACCTTCCCAAGTCTTCAGTGTACTGCATATTCAGACTATCACAAATCGCTCCTCTAATATCAGGTTCAGTATTCTCAGAAAAGAACACACATGACTTGTCAAAGCTTACTTTGCTACCTAACACCTTACAGAACTTTTCAAGACACCCCTTCATACATAGCTCTTGATCCGCCGAAGCTTCACAAAATAAAATTAGATCATCCGCAAAGGCCAAGTGTGAAATATAGGGGCCATTACGACTAGCCCTAGCAGCTTTCCAAGCACCAAACCGCACCTCATGCTCGATCAAATGGGCTAAACGTTCCATACATATAACATACAAGTAGGGAGACAACAGATCACCTTGTCTAATTCCTCTACTTAGGAAAAAACTAGCCGTAGGTTCCCCATTCCACAATATACTAAGCTTAGTAGAAGTCACACACTTCATCACCACATCAACCATTGATTGCGGAAGACGAAGCTCTAAAAGAGATTCACGAATAAATGACCATCGAAGGCGATCATAAGCTTTCTCAAAATCAATTTTCACCGCCATAATACCATGTTTTCCTTGCTTTCTCTTCATCGTATGTAACATTTCTTGAACAATTATAATATTGTCCGTGATTTGTCTTTTCGGCACAAAGCTACATTGGGTCGGAGATGAGAGTAGGCAAGAGGGGTTTCAAACGATTAACAATTACCTTAGTAACAATTTTATAAATGATGTTACATAACCCAATCGGTCGAAAATGATTTAGCTTTTGCGGCACATCCATCTTTGGTATAAGGACCAAGAACGCATCGTTTAACCCTTCTGGAAAAGTTTTGCCTTCAAGCACATCTTTCACCAAAGCAATCAGATTCGGAGCTACTGTATCCTAATAATTTTGATAAAAAATTGGTTGAAACCCGTCCAGACCTGGGGCTTTATACGATTTCATTCCCAGCAACACCTTCTTGATGTCACTAGCAGTAAAAGGCCGGCTCACAAGATCCCAATCTTCTTTCTCAATGTATGGAAATTGATCAATTAAGAGCCTTTCACCTGTGAAAGCCGTAGCTTCCTCTTGGAACAAACTCTTCCAGAAATCAAGAACTAGGCTTTTAACTTGCTTCGGACAAGTTAGCCATTCACCTTGGGAGTTTTGTAAAGTTTCAATCCTGTTTTGACGCCTTCGAATGAGAGTGGATAAATGAAAAAACTTTGTATTTCGATCTCCATTTCTAATCGCATCAATTCTTGATTTTTGAAACCACAAGATTTCTTCTTGGTTATTCACATCATCCATCTCTCGTCTAAGCATGGCTTCAAGCTTCAAACGATGTCTATCATTTCCAGTTGATAATCGCTTTTGAATTCCTTCTAAGCGAGCCCACAATTCAGATTCCTTGCGAAATATATTATGAAAAGTTTCGTTGTTCCACTTGTTCAATATGTACGCAAATTTCCTCAAGAAAGGAATAATAGGCGCAACCTTGTCCCAAGATGCGTGCACAAATGCATCAACCTTCTCATGATTCATCCAGGCGGCTTGGAACCTAAACGGTTTCAACGAAGCTGGGATAGGAGCGAAGCCAGACGTACTAATAAGAATAGGGCAATGATCACTTCGAGACTTAGGTAGATTTCTGAGCGCACCATCTTCAAATCGCAATTGCCACGCTTCATTCACCAACCCTCTGTCCAAACGAGTAGACTTAAATGTATCAGGAGAGTTACCCTTAGACCAAGTGTGCTCAAGGCTAGAACAATGCAAATCAATCAAGTTATTTTCTCGATCCAGGCTGAGAATTCACGACATCTACGTTCCATCTCTGACCCGCTAGAACCATTCCTTTCACTCAAGCTCTTCGTATCATTGAAGTCCCCAGCTATTAACCACGGACCAGAATATATATTTTTGATATGATAAAGCGCATTCCGTAATTGCTTTTTGAGAGCACTGTGAGGGCTAGCATACACTGTAGAAAAAAGCCAAGGGTCTTCGCCATGCTTCTTTATTTCTACAGTTAAATGTTGATTGTGACTTTCAAACCCAACTACCGAAACCTCCTTACTCTTCCAAAAAATCCAAATACAACCAGCAAAACCCTGAGCTTCAACTCGCATTTGAACAGAGAAATTAATTTTATCATACACTTGTTGTGCTTGATTCCCACTGATATATATATGAGTCTCAACCAAAACATACAGAAGGCCGATTTATTCTAATTAATTTTTGAATAATCGATAACTTATTACCAACACCCTGAACATTCCAAATCATTATTTTAATAGACATATTAAAATTTGAAAAAAGGGAGAAATCTATCATACACATTCAAAGGAATGTTAGGCAAAAGTGATAGATGTGCTTCTCTCAGCGCTCTCATCGGCCCCTCCGTCTCCATAGGAATCTGGAACGTTGCCATCAAATCCGGGGGATTGTGTTGCGGTGGCAGGTATGAACTCACTTGGAGATGCACTTTGTTGGCTAGAGGGTGACATGACACCATCTTTGGTCCCTCCGTCTGGTAGTCTATGAAGGTGTTGTACGTTGTAGGAATGCAAATTTCCAAGCATATCGGCACATCCATGGGATTTATTCGTGCTAGCACAATTAACCAACTCTATAGACTCTGAGTTAGTCGATTGGTTTTGCAATGCTGAAGGTGTGGAAGAAGCTATTTCCACCCAATTTTCCTTTCCAGAAATACGAGATTTTGAATAGGGAAATTCCCTGTTTCTCATATTGAGAAACGAAATTTGTTTCTCATGGGGGCATTTTCGTGAATAAATCAACAACTTTTCCTTAGATAAAATATATGTTTTCCTTAGATAAAATTCTGTTGCCCATCACCTGATCAACTCTTTCCAAATTATCCTTCTCAAATTGATAATTATCTCCTAGCCCTATAGTAGGCTGCATCTCCGCATCTTGCCCCAAATTTTCGCCTTCTAAATTATCTTGAGAATTAATCTCGATTGCCATACTTTGATCCTCACCTAAATTAACAGCGCTCTTGGTAACTTCTTCCTGATTAGTACTTGTTAAGCTAACAATTTCCTTTGTTGGATTTCTTGGCAAAGTATCCAAATCTTCCACTGTGACATCCTCTGGCTGAAGAATAGCAAACCTTGAACCTGATCCAACCCCGGACTTGCTCACATTCTGAGCTTGAACTTGACCATTCGAAGGGACTGACTTCTTCAAGGTACCAACTGGTTGCTGGGATTTTGCATTATTCTCTGTATTCACAGATGCCTTGCTAACCTGGTTATTAGTATCCTTCCTCGTAGGTTTCCTCGATGATCTTTGAACAATCATCCACGATCCATAAGAATATGTGACTTCAGGACGATTATTAACCGGACTTTTACCAATCCCCTGGCTAGCGCCCTCTACCTCATCGGATTTAGGTGCATTAAACTGGTCACATTGCTCATCCTTGTGCCCCAATTTACCACACTTGAAGCAAATAAGCCAAAGTCCTTCATATTGAATTTTCCAGATTCGACCATTCAACCTAAATTTAGACAACAGAGGCTTCGAGAGATCAACTTCAATGCTGAATCGAACAAATTGACCTCGATCTTTGGATTTAGTATACTTATCAATACACATTACCTTGCCAATTTTCGAACCAATCTTATGGAGGAACAAATTGTCAAAATACTCCACCGATAGATTAGGAATTCTAACCCACGCAGTCAATTTCCTGATAGGTTCTTCATCTGGGATGAAGTTTGGCACCCATTTTCTAATCGTCAGGTAACTATCACCTATAATCCAAGGGCCTTGAGTCATAACGAACTCATAATCATCAAGATTATGGAAACGAACAATATAATAAGCACATCCAACATCCGTTAATGCTATATCACCCTTAAGATTCCATTTCAGCCTAAGTTTCTTGATCAACAGTTCATACCCTAATTTCTTGTCAAAGAGTTTAATAATTAGGGCATTCTTCCATGGTAAACGAAGCCTCCATTTTTCCTCCTTAGTTAGCACAATTGTAGGACATTTCTCATCATCGAGATCGCCATTGTCAGGGACTTCATCATCTGAACAATCCTCTTCCTCCTCATAATAAAGGATTTAATCCTGTTTGAGATCCTCTGGCAATATTCAAATACGAACCATGCTTCTCAGTCCTTTTAGATGGACTTTTCAGAGCTTCAGTCAGCAGCATTACCACTAGGGTTAATTCTTGGAATTGAATCACTATCATGGAGCTTGGATTTTTTTATTCGATCTTTAAAGTTGGTCCTTTTCTTCGCTCAAAAGCCCTAGCACTCCTCTCTCAGTTTCTCCGCTCATTTTTTGTATTTTTATTATTAGAAATATAGAATAGTGGTGGTGTACGACTAAGGCTAGCTGTTTATAAAATACTATGAGTGATTGTGTTCAACTTGGATTTTTTAATCTAAAGCAGAAATTAGCAGCAAAGTAGGTCATTAGATCAATTTAGATGAGTTCATATTAGAATAGTCCAGACATAATAAGTTTAGATAATATCATGCAAACAAATTAAAAGTGTCTTGATTTTCTCTTGTACATATTGTATAAAGTACAAGATTATGGTTTGTTCAAAAAGAAGTACAAGATTATGGTTATGGTGGCAAGACAATGAGACTAGTGATGATTAGGCTAGCTAATTACCACCGTAAAACCTCTTTAATTTAATTAGATTTATTTAAATTACATATTACTTGCGTTTTTCTAAGCCTTACTTTCATTTTCATCCATTTTTTTCTAAGTTCTACTCATTTTCACTTTATTTCTTTTATGACAATTTTTTTTCTTTTTTTTATTTTTTATTTTTTATCATTTATAACCTCACTTTGTGAATCTAATTTTATTTAATACTCGTAGATCTCTTACTCTCTATCTCTCTTCTCTTTTACAAAAGTACTCATGCATATATATGGTCCCCATTTTTACTTTCTTTGATTTGCGTAGCTACAATAACTAATTAACAGTCGGCAAAACGGAGGTAATAAGTATTTTACATTTATATTTAAGGACTAGATATCAATTTCATATGGATTACGAGGTTTATTACAAAGGCTATGTTAGGTAACAGTGTAACACTACTAGTTTATAACAACGTATATATTTGGCATAAAAATAATTTAACTTTGTGAATGTTGATGGCCAATCTTAGAATTTTTTTTTTTCATTTTTTGATGGAGTTTACAACTTTTTAAATAGTTAATAATCAAAGACTTATGACTTGTCGTACTCGTATGCTTTTAGTCTTTGCCACTAAATTAAACTAAAATACGGAGTACTCCATTTGTTTTAGATAGTTTGATATTGTTTATTATCGGTACAAAGTTCATAATTTTATAAATGTATCAAACCTAGTCGATCCTTAATTAGCGATTAGAGTATAATAAAAGGTACGGAGTAGATAGAGACAAAAAGAATTTTTTGAGACGAAAATAAAGGAGTAATATTGAATGATTCAATTTCGTCATATAGTATGAAAGAAGCAGTCTAATCTTATTTGCCAGTGGCACTTAAAACATTTTTTTTTATATAGATAATTAGATTATTGATATGTAAAGAATAATTAAATTTAGTTTATTAGATTCAATAATTAATTATAGGAGTAGACTTTGACTAAAAGGGCCAAAAAAAAATTTGACGAATAAAAGGGCCAAATTAAAAAGACTATAATACGTACAAGTATTTGTTTTTTGGAAGATTAATTAAAGTAGGAATGGACTAATTTTTTATTTTAATCTAATACATCAAACATGTGTGCCAAGTTGGCAAAGATTTCTTAATAAAAGAGTACTTGACTGTAAAAAATCAAGAAAATTTTAATTTATAGAACCGTATCTTACATTGTTAAGTTAGGTATGTAGTTGATGAGAAGAAGTTAGTTTTCTTTTTTTTATAGGTGTGGAGTGAATTTTGGGTGATGGTTAGGGGGATAGTGGGCAACACTATTTAAGGTGCTTTTGGACAAGTAGTATAAGATGATTTAGGTTGTTATTTGATACCAATAAGGCAATAACATAAAAATCACGTCCAAGCGTTAAAGATTGAGGATCACTATACATTAATCACATGGTTAAATTTTTATTTTTACATTTGAAATTTAATTTTTAATATTATTTTGCTCATCGAACAAATAAATTAAAAGAGTTGTTATTTGATCATCACCAGCCTTGTATCACAACCTCGATCAAGTATGAACTTTAAAATTTTATTCCATCCATTTTAACACTATTGGTCATTTGGTTGGATTATATTTGGAATGGATTGGAATGGAGTTAGAATTCATTCCATCTAATTTTTTGTTTGGTTGAGTTTTTTTAGTAATGGAATCTCATACCCTAGGGATTCTAACTCTACCCCATACCTATGGAATCCCATACCTACCTTTACCCCTAAGATTCACAATCCATTCTATTAGTGAAAGATACAATTCATTCCAACATTAAACCAAACAACTTTAGGCTAGTATGGGTTTTAAAATCCACACCTTTCTACTATGAAATTTCATTCCAATCCATTCCAATAAAATGAACCAAACACCCCCCTAATTGTCTTATCACTAAGCCATGCTATACTTCATGTGCCAAAAAAAAAAAATAAAAAAAAATAAAAAAAAATTAAGTGAATAACAATATAAAAAAATATTATTTAATCAAGAGAAAATTGAGTAATGATTTTTTTAATGATTATATTTTTTTATAGTGGTTATTCACTAAATTTCATAGCAATCCGTCAATTATAACACAAAAGTTATTATATAGAGATAACATTTTCAATACTCTTAATCCAACAATCCACCAATGAAACAAATTCATAACAATCCATCAAAGCAAGCAATAATCCATCAAAGAAAAAAAACAAAAACAAATAGAAAACGCATGAAACAAATTTCCATTGATAAAAATCGATAGAAGTCCTTCAAAAATTCAATAATGGAGATTAGGGTTTTTTTTTTCAAAGAGGAGAGAAGACAGAGAGGAGAAAGAGGTTAGGAGTTCCGCTTTGCTAAAGAGCTAGTCCATCGAACGATTTTCGTAGTCATGAGGATGTTGTTCATTTAATTCACCTGATTGTATTTGAAAAGTTGATAACTTTTGTGACTCCACATAATTGTTCACCAATGAAACAATTTCACAACAACAATCCATGAAATCTACTTTTTGGAATTTTAAAATAAGAATAGTCTCCCCCAATAAGAAGAGGAGATAAATCTTGTCCTTCAATGAAAATCGTAAAATCCTTATCTTTTGAAGGGGATTGAAAATTATTTCTTTTAAATGAGAAAAGTTTCTCCTTTTCAAAGGAGGAAGTGTTATTATAAACCTGAAAAAACAAACAGAAAGAAAAAAATCGTCAAAGAAACATACATTAGGACATTCGACCGGTACGACCGATGGAAGCCCCTTCAAAATTCAAGAATGAGGCTAGGGTTTAGAGGAGAAGAGAGAGGGGGAGGATAGAGGATAGAGGTCTATATATCATTCTCAACAACAAAAAAATGATTTATTAAAATTTCCAAATTAAATGAAGGTTAATAATCATGAAAATATAAGGAGAAAGTTTCAAAACAAAAGTCAGTAATAATGAACTACGAAGCATTATTCTACCAATGAAGTCTTAGTCTAGTGATTAAAGTTAAAGGTCATATTTGTAGATTGTGTATAATATGTCACATATTCAAATCTCTCCATCTTCAATTGATTATATTACAATTTGATTATGAAAATTACTCATTTTTTTTTTTTATAACAATTTCTTAAATAATGTATCTATAATAAATTATTAGAAGATAAAAGAACGATTGATACGGTACTAGTATAAGTGTATAACAACCTGTAATTTGAATCCCTGAATATATGCCACTAAATCAGGGTCGTCCAAATTATAACAAAGATTGCGAGATGAAAGAAAATGTAGGCCTCATATCTATGTAGTTGTCCTTCTCCTTACGTTGAGCTTTGATGTAGCTAGCTGTTTACTGGTTACTTGCAATCTTAAACCACTTCAATTTAATATATTTTTTTTTCCATGCTCATGAGACACATTAGTTATTTTATAATCTTGAGCATCTATGATACCAAATCAATCAATATAAAATTATGTACTCGTATAATTGTATTCCATATTGCTATTATAAGTTCGAGTATTGTACAAGTGTTGAAGTATATCCTATCAAATAACACATGTAAACGTCTCACATTGATAAAAGTTGAGAGAGTTAAAACACTTTATAAGGCTAATGGACTATTCCTCCTATTGTCATATGGTTTAGATATAGAACCTTTTTTGATTTTATGAAGTGGACTCTCTTTTTTCATTTGCGGGTGCAACCCGGACCTGCGTTTGACAACAAGTACTTCGTAAATATTAATTAGTCTAGCTTTTAGATGTTTGAAGAGCTAGAAGACATAAAGGACAAATAATTTAGACTTGAATCACAAGATGTACCCTAATCAATATGTTATTTGTATACCATCTAGTCATATATACTTCGTATTTTTTTTTTTTTGAGAAAAATGTTAATCTTGTACTTCTTTTAGTGAGTAATTAGGTTAAAATCCCGTGCAATGCACGTTTGTTAAATTTTTTGTTAATAATATTATAAAATACTTCTTATAAAGTAAAAGATATGCAGAAATATTTCATTTGGGTATATATGGAATATGATTGTCAAACTGAATAAAAAATATCATAAGGTGTAAATAGTTTACTTAAAAATTTTGAGGAAAAAAAAGAAGAGAGAAGCGAAAAAGGCAGGAAATTTTTTCACAAGGTAATGACAAGTGTCATTGGTTATTCGCTTTTAGTATAAGTTAATAGATTCCGATTTACATCGTATATAAAAGGGTGATGACACTAGATTGGGAAAAAAAAAAGTTATATAATGTAAATGTAAATTAAAAATTACGGCTTTTTCACCATATACCCCTGAGTTTTTTGTTTATTCACCATATACCCCTGAAAATTTTCAAATTCACCATATGTCCTTGAGTTGTTACAAAATTCACCATATACTCCTAATGACAACAAGATGAGTGAAATTAAGTTAATTATGCATCGAAACCACCTTGGATCTCTCCCGTCATCCCCGAAACCACTCCTCTCCTTTCTTTAACCCCCAAAACCACTCCAAATCTCTATAATCATATCCCTGTGATTGATTTTGAGGATGAGGAAAGG